GCTTTAAAAAAATTCATTGATTTATTTTGAAAGAGCTAGAGAGAGAGAGTGAAAGAGGGAGAGTTAGTGATATCTTCCATCCACTGTTTCACTCCCTAAATGGCCGTCACAGCCAGGTCTGGGCCAAAGCCAGGAGTCAGGAGCTTCATCCAGGTCTCCCATGTGGGTGCAGGGCTCAAACACTTGGACCATCCTCTGCTGCTTTCCCAGGCGCATTGTCAGGGAGCTGGATTGGAAGTGGAGCAGCTGGGACACCAACTGTCGCAGAAGTGGGATGCTGGCATCACAGGCAGTGGCTGTGCCCGCTGGGCCGCAACGCTGGCTCCTAAACGGGTTCTTCATCCTGTTCGATCACACACCTCGCATGTTGGTGCTGTAGGCCGTCATCTCCTGGTTGGTGGCTCTCCATCTCCTGGGCCTCCCACTTGTTTTCCTCTTGGTTTCTGCATCTCGAGGCCGCATTTTTCATTAGCTGCCTGACCAGCAGCGACCAGCCTCCGTCTGCCTCCTGCTCTAGGGATTCTATCCCTGTCTTTGTGTCAGTTCATGTGACAGACTGCTCCCTGTCACATGTCTCTTTGGATCCTCTGACCCACACTCAGCCGTTATGGCCTCAGACTGTCCTGCAGCTGCCTCTGGTTGTTCCTGATTTCCCCACCGCATGGAGAAGCGTGGCCGCCGCGGTGTGAGTCGTGCATGGGTACTTCAAGGTGGAAGCAGGGAGAGTGATTGTAGGATAATGACCACCACCCTTCCCCCCACCGCTGCCAATTACTACTCTCCCTCTCCTCCAAAACAATCAGGCCATTTTTATCCCCCTAACGTGTTTCTGAGATGATGACCATTAAAAATATATAAAACTGTCCTTTTTCTCCCAAGAAACAAGATGATTGAACTCCACAAGCAAAAGCTGCCTCCAACATAAAACTGCTGGCTTCCCCGGCAAAATGTGCCTTTCAGCACTTTTGCGTCATTTCGCTCCTTCCTGCCTCATTGCATGTGAGTTACATTTGTGCCTGAGCTCATCTGTCCTTGCAGCCGCCCGTCCATATTCCGCTGGCTGGATGTCCCCTGAGTTTGTTCGTTTCCAAGGGTTCTCTTGTGGAGGGGCTGGATTGGATCAGGGTAACTCACCTGAGACTCTAGACCTGTGGCAAGCACCGCAGTACATAAGCCCTGAATGCGTGTGCCACGGTGGTGAGGCAGGACACTGGGATATTTATCCGCCTTAGCCTTACATGGGTTCCGAAAACTCTTGGTGCACCATGCGTAAAATACATCGATGGTTCTACCTGGAGAGAATGAGCCTTTGCAAGCCCCTGCTCACGCTGGCACCATGGAGAGCTTGCTCTCCACCAGTCTGCATTTCTGTTACTCTCGGGGTCCTTCCTCTGACCCTTTGACTACGCACAATGTCATTGCTAACTGCAAGTCCAGCCTCTGAGCTGAGGCCTTTGTAATTATTTACTTGAGAGGCCATGAGACAGAAGGACAGATTGACAGACAGACGGAAAGCTCCTATCTGCTGATGACTGGGGCTCATCCAAGCTGAGGCCAGGAGCCGGGAGCTCAATTGAGGTCTCAACACGTGTGCCAAGAAACCAACTCTTTGTGTCATTTTTGCTGCGGCCCAGAGGGTGCCCGAGAAGGAAGCTGGGGTTCAGAGCTGGAGCCGGGACTGAACCCCAGGCTTACCTGCCAGGCCAAATGCCTGCACCTTGGTGATCTTTGTGCCTCCCAGCTGGAGTGTTGTGGCTGTGGAGGTCAGCTGGCACACAGCTGGGATGGGCCACCCTGCTGCCCGTGCAGCACCGATAATCTCCCACCTGCTCAGGCTCTCAACGCATATAGGTAAAAGGGCTGGGCAGCTGAAAGCCACAGGAGTTTCCGTGCTTGGGGCCTGGCCAGGGAGGAGGTCAGAGAAAGAAGGCTGGTGGGGGGGCACTCCCAGGCCAGATTCTCTGCTGCCCCAGCCCTGTCCCACGCTCCCAGTCCCCTGGATGTGGACTTCAGGCAACGACAAAGTTTTGGCAAAGTGACCAGTCTTACAGGGGGGCTGCTGGGGTGGTGCCGTAACTGGGTCTCAATTCCACGCTCCACTCAATACAGAGGGAAGCAAGGGGAGAGAGGGAGGGAGGGAGCGAGAGAGGAGGGAGGGAGGGAGGGAGGGACAGAGAAGCAGAAAGAACAAGGCCCTCATCCTGGAAGTCAGCTGATGCCTGGAATTGCAATCGATGCTAATCTGCGATCTGGACTCGCTTATGAGTGGAAATGCCACTTGCTAGTTGGTTGAGTAAACTCTTTGTTCAGTGTCTTGTCATTCACACAGTAATATGACAGGCATCAGTTCTGGTAACAGACAGAGAAGGAACTGGGGAGCGTGGGCAGCTGAAAATGAGCGAAAGAAGAACAGAATGCAATAGTCAGAACAAGGCCACCAACGTCTCTCCCTCCTCTCGTTTGCTGCACCTCCTTTGCGGAGGGCTGCCTGACCCATGGCTGTAGCCACTGTCTAAGCATGTCAGGAGTGACAGCCCTGTTCTTCCTGCCCACGCATCGCTTACCCACAGAGGCACTGATGGCCCACGAAGATGGATCAGGGCAATGGGGGCCTTTGGAGAGCCACAGATCAGGACTTTAGTAAAAGCTTTGTCAGTTACTAGGTATTATTACCATCTTACTACCATCCTGGTATTACCATCTTATCTTATTACCATCTGCGATGCAACAGGTGACAAATCATGTCTCATTGCTTTCACTCGATTTCTTTGATGAGTAAAATGTAAAGGATCTTGAAAATTGTGGTCCCCTCACTTAAACACGCCGCACCCAGGTGTGCCCATGTGTTCATGAGTGATGCTCCGTCCTGTCTCACGGGGAAGTGAAGGAACCAATGTGCACACAGCACTTAGAAGTGCCTCTGGGTCAGAGGACCTGATAAATGCTGGCTGCTATTTGTATAATGCAGAAATCAGCACATGAAACAAAGATTGTGAAGGATGGAGGGTTTTTTCCCCTAGTTATCAGAGCAGACCTTGCCCTTCAATCTGGAATCTTCTGTGTCCTACGGTAGTGAGGTCTGGACACATGTTTTTGTATATATGGGCCTCCTTGGATACCTCGTGTGTCAAATAAAGGGGTTTTACTACATGGTCTCCAAGGTCACACTGACCTCTACTACTCTCACACTTTGAGCCCGCTCATGTATTCCAAAGCACGTATCCACTTGCAGTGGACACACAGAGGACAAGGAAAGCTGCCCAACATGATAGACGTGTCCACATGCTTTCCACTCTCAAACTCAGAACAGAGACCTCTGCTGGTGGCTCAGCAGCAGGGTTCAGGGACAGGGATTTTGCTCGTTTTGTTCATTGCAGTGTCCCCAGCACCAGGACAGTGTGTGCGGCACATGGCAGGTGTTACAGAAAGATTTGTGGAATGAAACATATTAATAAGCCATATAAAACAGACATGTTAGGAGGAAGGAAAGTGGCTGACACATAACTATTTTCAGAGACCTTTTACATTTGAGTAATCAAAGAAATCCAGTTAAAACGATGACATATGATTTATCACCTGTTAAATTGGCAGATATTAAAAATATAACAGTCTTCACATCTTCAGTAAATGATGGAGAAATTGTCAATTTTACTCTGTTACAGCACAATCTTCCTGGAATTCAATGTGGCATTATTTATCACAAGGTTTAAAATTGTGCACGGTTTGACCCAGAAATTCCATATCTGGATTTTTTTAAGGAAAGAATTAAAGATATGCAGAATTTTAGCTGTAAGAATTCTGTTTATACATGCAAAATTTACAAGCAACCAAGATGTCCAACTATAGGGAATTCGGTAAGTAAGAGATGATGCAATCAGTCATTTAATGAAATACTAATTGACTATTGAGCACAGTGAAAAAATACTCATAGTACATGTAGCACAAAGGAAATTTAAGAGGTAGAATGTGCAGTACAGTTTCACAAAACTCTGTGGAGATACATAGAAGAGTCCCATAGTGAATTTACTGCAAAATTAACCTGGTTAGCTGGGTTATGTATTCTTGTAATTTTCTTGTTTTTGCTCATTTTCTCCTTTTTTATAAACAATGACCATAAATTGCTTTCATGACAAAATAATCATTTTCATTTAAAAGCTTGACTTCCTAGCTTCAACAATTATAGACCTGCAGGTAATCTGTGTGTGTATGGGTGTACGTGTGTATGGGTGTGTATGTATGTGTGTATGGGCGTGTGTGTGTATGGGTGTGTGTGTGTGTGTGTATGAGTGTGTATGTGTGTATGGGTGTGTGTGTGTGTATGGGTGTGTGTGTATGGGTGTGTGTGTATGAGTGTAGGGGTGTATGGGTGTGTGTGTGTATGGGTGTGTATGGGTGTGTGTATGGGTGTGTGTATGGGGGTGTGTGTATGGGGGTGTGTATGAGTGTGTGTATGGGTGTGTGTGTATGGGTGTGTGTGTGTATGGGTGTGTGTGTGTGTATGGGTGTGTGTATGTGTATGGGTCAGTGGGTGAGTGGGTTGTATCTGAACTATGCTCTTTGCTCATCCAGACTTTCTTCTCTATCATTAGTATGGACAAATTAATCAGATTTTAAGCTCCTTCAGGGTAGGGTTTATACCTCTTCTTTATTCTTTAAAGTATCTCACACCCCTTCTGGCTGCCTAATAAAAATTCACTGCTCTGAATTCAGTCAAGTGCAATTTCAATTTCTACTCTCATTAAATGTCCCCTAGAAATCAATTTAACCAGTTCTAATAACAGGAGCATCCCCCAAGGTTTCCTATTTTCCTTTTGTGTTGTAAGTTGATTCTACGCAATCTCTGACACTAGGGGGAAAGACCCTAATACAGTGGGGACAGTGGGTGGAAGCAAGAAGTGTTTTGTGTTGCTCCAAGGCAGCTGAACCAAGTAAGAGGAGAGTGAATTTCAGTTCTTCTAAGAAACTTCCTGTTTATTAAATATGCGTACCATCATCTCCAGGAGCTGGCGGTGTGAGAAGTTGCTGAACTCCCTCTCACAGGAGACTCCCACGCTGACGACAGAGACGTCATCATCACATTGTGAAACAACCCCGCAAGCTGGTTGGAGGGGCGCTGTAGAACTCCCAAAGGTGGGTCTGCTCTGAAAGCCAGCTGCTGATGGGAAGGGTAGTGGAGGGAAATAGGTGTTCATTTGCAAAGTGTAGAGCGAGGGGCCAAGCTCCCTGAGGGGTGAGGGGTGAGGGGTGAGGGTGAGGGGTGAAGGGTGAGGGGTGAAGGTTCTTATAGACTGAAGATGGGTCTGGGAGGTCCCTGTTCAGCACATGCCCACGTACCCCAGTTGGTCAGTGATGTTCGGGGTTTCTCTTTGCTTGGTCAGTGATGCTGTGCCTCCAGGGACGTTTTCTGATGGCAGGTGGGCTTCAGCTGATCTGGGGGAGACACACAGGTGTTAGTTACATTCTGCTCCAGACCTGGAATTGCCCTCAACAGCCTCTCCCTCCCGGACAGTTCTGGCCATCGAGGTTTTTATCTATGGGAGAAGAAAATAACTTCTTGAGTCCAGTGATGAGAACCGTACAGGGCCAGCAGTACCACTCCCTCAATTCAGTGAATTCCTTGTCAGAAGTGGTTGATACTAAAGGATGGGCAAGGACACCTTGGGCTAAGGGAGACAAACAGAGGCTGGATCTAAAAATATCTTGCCTTTACATTGGGGGCATTCTTATGTGGGTTCCATCTCAGTCAGTGGGCACCAACACTGAATTAAAGATTGGACTAGGTGACCTTTGACCATTTTTTTCCAAATATCCATATACCTTCCTTCTCTTAGACCTCATGTGCTGCCAAGAAATCAAGTCCATGCACAGATGAGCCTTTCATGACTCAAAGCTCCACACAGCTTACCCTTGGATTCCAGACCCAGGAACTCTATCCCAAAGCACCACGTCATCTCTTAGGCTTCTCTGGACACATGCCCATCTCATTGTGCAAGCATGGCCGCTTTCCCTTTCTCCAGCAACTGAAATGAACATAGAATTTTTTTGGCTAAGCATCATGGTGAGCCCTTGATGTGAACTGCTTTGCTTCAAACTCTCAAAACAACCCAAGGAGGTAGCACTGGATGATCAGAAAACCAGGGCCAACTAAGGTTCCCTAACGCATGCAAGGCAATGCACTTGGTACAAGAAAGACAGAATTTAAACCCAGGAATGTCTGACTTCAAAGTACTGCATATAGTAATGTGCTACCGTGACTGATGAGGTGTTGTCAGGGTCTTGGGGAGCTGCCCTGGAGACTGTACACACACACACACATGCTCCTCTGCTGTGCCCAACACTCTTACTCTGTCACTGATTCACCTTCTTGCCACATTGACACCCCTCTTTCTCCAAATACCTCCATCTATGATGTTTTTTTTTTTTCTCACTCCCAGCCACCAGACGCATCCGTAGTTGTCCAAGACTTAGTGTCTGCCTACAGCACTGGGGGCTAAGTTTAGTGGGCTGTTGATAGGTGTGACCGTTGCTTTTGTGTGTCAACTTGTCCAGGCTAGGGGAATCCCAGGGAGATTTCTGGGGGACTGTGTGTGAGGGTATTTCCAAAATGAGTTTAGCATTTGAGCCAGTGACCTATTTATGAAGATCTACCGTTACCACGGTGGACAGGCACTGTCCAATCCAGTGAGGGCCCTAAAAAATAGAGCGAAAAGTGGAAGAAGAGTGAAGCGTGTCTGTTTCTCTTCCGAGTTGGGACGTCTGTCTTCTGCCCTTGAACGTGGGAGCTTCTGTTTGTGTGATGTCTTGATCTCTGTGACCCTATGAGCGATTTGCCACAGTAAATACACTCTTGTGACCCATAAATATTGCATGTCTCTTTCCCTGGAGGACACTAGCACAATAGGGTGCTGCATTGTGTCCCTTCCCCCAAAGCCACCTCCCTACTTTAACAGTTTCAGCACACCTCCAGATAACTTGATCTTGGGGGTCATCTCAAAGCTCCCCAAGGCAAGACATCCTTCCCCTGTAGCCCTCGGGAGCTCACATCCTTTTGATGAGACGGGCAGCTATGAATGGAATTAATTTTTTGTACATATAATTCTCGTGGCTACTTGCCAGCTCAACACAATGTAAGCACCCCTCACTTCCTCTCCCTTTCACGACTGCACGTTGCAGTGCAGGCTGGGAATTCTCTCAGATTCCTGCCATGTGAGTGCTGCGTATGCATCTGATCTCATTTTCCTCCGTGGCACTGCTGGGTTGTATTCTGCTGTGAACTCCTGCCCTTTCTTCACTCTGCATGCAGTCCCAGGATCCTGGGCCACAGCACAGAAAGATATGCTTGGTTTATCTAACACAGCCAGAGGAGCCTGGGGGATACTTACTTCAGAGCTAATGTTTGGAGGGTAAACTTGTTTATAAATATTGATGGATACTGATATCCTGTTACTGGCTACTTTAAAAAAGACTGCAAAACTACCCGCTAGGTTTTTCATGTTACAGTGATTTCATGAAATTAATGCAACAAATTCACTTTAATACTGCTTATTCCCATACTGTGAACTATAAAGAAAAATGTCCAAAGAACACCCTTAAGAAGCATGAAACCAGAAAAAGTAACTTAAGAAATTCTAATTCAGTTTAGCTGCTATTTTATGGTCTACAGTGTGCAACCCTTCCTACTCTTACCTCCTTAAGTGATGCACTTTTGCAGTGTTGTTTCTCAAGATTCTTTAAGCTTGTACATGCATATCAATTCCTGCAATCAACAATGTCTTCTGTAATGATTTCTTGAACAATGTTACGTTCAGATACAGTGCACAGTGGGTTTTTGTAATCTCAGTTGATTGACAAAATCTTTTTGGTTTTGTGGCAGGAGAATGGTTAATAGACATGTCTTTTCCTGAAAATCAGTGCCTGATATTGCAGAATACCACAAACTGTTTATTTGTTTATCATTTCCGCTCTCCACCCACACTGGAATGTAACTCCATATGCATAGGGATGTTGACTGTCTAAACAATTCACTACGATTACCTTATTGATCAGGAATGTAGAATATTATGAACAAATCATGCTTTTTTTTTTAAATTTTTTTGACAGGCAGAGTGGACGGTGAGAGAGAGAGACAGAGAGAAAGGTCTTCCTTTGCCATTGGTTCACCCTCCAATGGTTGCCGTGGCCAGCGCGCGCTGCAGCCAGCGCACCGCGCTGATCCGATGGCAGGAGCCAGGTGCTTCTCCTGGTCTCCCATGGGATGCAGGGGCCCAAGCACTTGGGCCATCCTTCACTGCACTCCCTGGCCACAGCAGAGAGCTGGCCTTGCAGAGGGGCAACCGGGACAGAATCCGGTGCCCCAACCGGGACTAGAACCTGGTGTGCCAGCGCCGCTAGGCAGAGGATTAGCCTAGTGAGCCGCGCACCGGCCAGAAAATTTTTAAAAATTGAAATCACATCATGAATTTTCTCGGGCCACAATGGACTAATACTAGAAATTAACAGGAAGAACACTGGAAATATACAAATAACATGGAAATTGAATGACATGATCCTGAATGACCAGTTGGTCATTGAAATAAAAAAAATATCTTGAAACAAATTCCAATGAAGCACAACACAGCAAAACTGATGGGATATAGCAAAATCATTATTGATGAAAATTTATAGCAATAAATGCATACATCAAAAATATACAAAGATTTTGAATAAATAACCTAATGATGTACCTCAAGAATTTATACAATAAGAGTAAACCAAGCACCAAATTGGTGGAAGGGCAGAAATTATAAAGATCAGAGCAGAAATAAGTAGAATAGGCATTAGCAAAAACAGTTTAATTCCATGTAATGTTTAACCTATGTGGTCTTAACTTACCTTTGTTGCAGCTGGAATTTATGGAAATTTTTCACTGCGAGGAATGTAACGTTACTTGCTGTGTGATTACAACAATGCAGAGAAAAAACAATACGCATGAACGGTGCACCATTGACAATGATTTTTTCCTACATACAAGTGTATGATGTTAGAGTAAACATTTACATGCTTCATGTAGATTATTCTTTATTCATTTATCAAGGTTAAAAATTATTGAGTCATATTTCATGAACATACTAATCTAACTTTCCAAGATTATTTCAATTTTAAAATCCGCAATAGTATAAAAGATGAAAATTAAGCCCAATTCAGTATCCAAAAGCAAGTGGCCGAAGTCACAGGAGAATTATGTGGAAAGGATAGATATGATGTAAAGGAAAGACCATAAAATGTTATCTTCTTCCAAAATACTATCCCAGGCCATAAAAAGTCATTGAGCAAGCCAATGAAATAAATAAAAGTAGCTATCTTGAAGTATGCGTCTTATAATGATAAGATAAATATGCAGGGGATAAAAAGAGATAGCCTTAAAATCTGCCTGGATAACTCTCTTGTTTCTGTAACTAAATGCACAATTGATTTAAAATGATTCACTGATGGATTAATATGGATTATAATTTCTGGATTTGTGATTTCAATAGTTATTATAGAGCCAAAAATTTTGCTTAGAAAGAGCAGGTATCCCACATTCATTATGTGGTGGATAATCACTGTCCTGTCTAATTCCTTTAAAGGATGGGGAACATGAAAGCATGCCCAGTATTTACAAAGTGAGGCTGCACGTCTCCTTTGAAGAGTGTACACACAGAGAGAGATTCCACAGGATGGATCATAGCATCCTCTCACTGTTTCCTTCTTTAGCCCAGAAGCACAAGTATACAGCTCTGATTTGTGTCAGATTGGGGGTATGGGGAAGAGAGAGAAAAAGAGAGAAAAAGAGGTTATTGGATTTGGAGCTTTGGATTTCTTTTCTACCATGATTATGAATACTCAAAAAGACACGTTTGCTGTTGGAAAAGAAAGACAAAATGGAGAGAGGAAAATTTATTTTGTGGCAGCAAAGTCTTTGTTTGACAGGCTATACCTGAGCTAATAAGTGGGAAAAGTTTGCAAAGCAGTGAGAAAGCAGACTTGTATTATGTACTTGCATTATGCCAGGGATTATGAAACAATGACTAAAGTTCTTTTCTCTTTCTAAAACTCTTCTGTGAAAACCTGAATTCTAAGGAAACACAACATTAGTAAAACTGTCTTGCATTCACAGAAAGCTTCATAATTCGTTAAACAGCCCTTCTAACTGAGGAAGAAAGAAACTAATATTTATTGTATGCTAATCACACACAGCTCAGGAGCATGGAGGTTTGATGCATTAAAAAATTTATTCATGACATGCTTCAGAAATGGGTATTATTTCTGCCATATTTCAGATAAGAAAACAAAATGCTAGCAAATGTGAGTGTATTGTTAGAAGTCACCACCAGGAAGGGTTGATGCTGAATTTCAAATTCAGAACTTCTCACGTGGCTGGGAAGTCATTTTGTGTGGGCTATCGCTAAGCCAGAAGGTAGCTATTAAAATACCTAAACATCTGCAACTTATAAAAAGGCAACACTGCAGGGTTTTGTTGTCCAAGGCTGAATTTGGCATCAAAAGCATCCAAGAACCTTGATTTGCTCTGTTTCATGTGTGCCTACAGTAAAGGCATTCATAAAAATTGCAATTGTGATTTTTAAGAAGGAAATGCCCTTTATTCAGAATTCCTTTTTAAATAATAGCAGAAAACTCATGAGTCTAAAAAATAAAAGACAAGTCTTTGATATTTCAGGAATTAGGCCTTCCATCCTGGTAGCAAATTATTTTGCAAACTCTCTTGCAACTCATATTTTCAAAGACTAGTTACAGTGAGTGTTGAGAAGTCTCTATTTGACCAACTATTTGCATACTGTACAGATTTCGGCATAATGCAAAGACAACTTCCTACTCAAAAAACTAGAAGAAAGGAAAAATGTCCCTTTCAAAAGAAAATGGTGTTAAAACCTGACATTTTGCAGAAATCCTGTCACAACCAATATCTATTTGTTTCTGGGGTGCACTGCTTTTTGCAGTTAGTAATACTGATGCCTTTCACTTTATCCATTTGGTTCTTCCTAATGCAGAAGTATCTAGGAAGTAACCTGACTGCAAATTCTAAAAATATCTTTTCATTATTTCTCAAAATTTAACCTCAGGATATACAGGATTGCAGCACAAAATTCAAGTTCACGTAAGTACTTGAATGTTACCTGCTCTGTCGAGTATGCACAACATTTTGAAAGAAACAACTGCTATAATTCTTTGCTCATGTATTTGATGAACCATACTTTGGCTGAGGAAGACGGAGTGGGATGAAATGCTGAAAGACAGGAACCACAGAGGCTGAAAAGTGACCTAGAAATCTTAATTTTAGCAATCATAGCTGTGGTTGAATTCAAGTTTACAGCAGCAGGGGTGAAATTATAGGACAAATTACCATGCTACAGCAGAGAAATTATTCTCTGCTGCATGGTTATTAAGTGATAGATAAATAAATAACACTGTAGGGCTGATTGACAAACTATAAGTGACCTAAAAGCTAAAAGGGGCACCATGCAAATAGTACTGTGTAATCACTAGGCATTTGAAAACTGAAATGAGATTTGTCATAGTGAAGAAACCTTAAAATGGTCTCTGCTCAAGTCGTTGCTGAAGCCATTCATAGGAGTCTTTAATCCTAAGGAATTTACAACTTCACAGGATCATATAATGCTTATTTTTTTTATTTTTGAAAAAGACCATTAACAACAAATGGTGAATAGAACATGTGCCATAGTTGTTTTCAGAGCTGCATTCAGCAATGTTAAGAGGCTTTCTTTTTTTCATATTATAACATCTCTCATATCGAATGATTTTTTTTAGATTTAATGAAATATGGTGGTAATGACAGTTTTACATGAGTTTTTCCAAATCTTGTCTCTTGCCAGTTAAAGTATGGAAAAACTTAAAGGCATCCAAAATAGTGTCTCCACACATTGCCCTTGGCATTAAGCTCCTTGAGTTTTTGTTAGCTTGATGGAACTCCCAGGCCCCAAGCCAGGCGTGCAGTGAAGTAATGAACTGTGATAGGAATCCAACCAAAATTCACTTTGTAAAATACTACTCCACTGGCTTCTAACCATTTGACCAGCACCATTTGGTGCTGTTGAACAATTAATGTTTCCTTTTAAAATTTACTGAATTTTAGTGCTATAAAGTGATAGGAAGTCATTTTCATACAGATGATCTGGCTCCTGTATTTAACCAATGCATCCTTAATTTAGTTTATTGATAAGCAAGTCTTTGGATACTTAGGATACTTTGTCCTCACAAAGCTTAGGTGAGAGAGAGCCATGAGACAGAATTTACACTGAAGTGACAGATTAAAGATCAGCCCTCTGGCCTATGCAATGAAGACATTTGTCTTAGAGCCAAATAATTTCACCCCTGCTACTGCAAACTTGAATTCAGCCACAGCTATGATTGCTTCTGGTGCAGATGTTAGGTTGGTGTCTTATGGTTCCTCCAGAATTAGGAGCTTTAGGAAATGGTTTATTGGTTTGTCAGAATGGGGAGTGTCCAAGAGGTGAGCATTCCCAGTTGTACCAACTGTAATAAAATGTTAATCTTAGATTTAAAAAAAATATATGAAGCAAGGCATGGCATACAGTCACATTTGTTGAATCTTTGTTATCTACAAAACACAAATGGTCTTCCATGATCTAGTCTGGTTTTCCTTTCTCTGCTTCCCAGTGACAGGCGCATTTGATGGAGGAGAAAGCATGTGTCTGGACTAGAGGACAAGCCCAAGGTCACTTTGAAGTGCTTGAGGAGCTGGGTGAAGGTGAAGGCAGGACTCCTCATCTAAGCTTAGTACTTTGTATTAGGCTATCAGTCAGGGACCTGGAAATGCATACCAGTTATATCCTCATGCAAAAATGTGAAAAATTTAAACAACTTGAACATTTATTCCTTTTGTGCTGTTTCTTGAATAATCAAGGCTAGATTTAATAATTTAAACTCCTGCCCTTTCTTTAAATTCCTCCTGTTATTTTCTGTTATTTACTAAAAAAAATTGTCCTCTCAACAAAATGTTTCAATGCATTTTCTTGGAATATTATAGCTCATTATTAGTGTCAACTTCTCCCTGTCTTTAGGAAAATGTTCAGTTTGCTATTGGGAATGACACAATTTAATGCATGTCCAGAAAACCCTTAATGATGGATAATGCTTCAAAGGACAGCCTTGGATCAGCATTTTGCCCCTTGGTAAGGATGTATCTGACATGTGACACACAGGCTAGGCTGGACATATAGTTGGCTTTGGAATACTAGACTTGACTTGCAGATTTTATGTTAAAATCTGGACTTAGAGAAAGCAGTTATTTTTGAATCAGATGTTAAGAGAAAGTCTTAATAAAAAATTGGAAACAAGTTGATTATCTTGTGTCCCACTTGCTTCTACTGCGTCTTTGAGTCCCTTCCTCTTTCCTTCTTCATAACCATATTCCTATCAAAGCTCCAATGCCTTCATTCCTTCTGTGGTTAATCCAGTCTCCTACTGAACTGAACAAGACTTCCCCACTTAACAATGTATACAAATCGTTTTCCTCATTCTCTTGGTGTTCTAATTTCCTACTAGCAAATTGGATCTCTTCATCAGTGGTAATCATGTAACGTCTACTAACAGATGTTTTCTTTTACATTGTAATTGCACTTTACCCAGAGTCTGCCTAATTGTCACATTTTAGATTTGGGTTCATGGAGTTAATTCTTTGAGGAACATGGGTTCCTCTTGAATACAAACTGTTCCCTTACAGGTGACCCTGAAAGAACAGGGCATTTACCTTAAAAACTGGCTGTGATGTGTGTCTTCCTGGTGTCCTGCGCATCTGTCAGCACAGCAATAATCTAGTTGGTCGTAGAATCTTCCATCCCACCTTACAAGCCACTGAGTGGCCACAAGACTGGCAAATAAAATAAGGGAAGGGTGTTGTTACAGAGGAACCACAAAGGTTCAGATGGCACCAGAACCAGTGCATGGATGTGTAACTATTTTCTATACTTCCTAAACATTTTCTTTACAATTACTTTGTTTCACAGTCTCTACAGGTTGTGCACATGTTCCCCAAATAGAAGATTGTTAGTATCTGTCTACCAGTTCAAACTTGCCCTTCCATCTGGAAGTCTATATATTATTTGATTATATGTGTACCAAAGTCATATATGCTATAGGAGAGTACTTCAAAAAGTTTGTGGAAATTGAATTAAAAGTATAATTTTTGAAATCTATGAATAGTGTTTTTCATAATACACATTTTCTTCCAAATTTCTGAAGATCTCTTTAGTTTAAAAAGGACAGAAGGAAAACAAATAATAATAAAATATTGACATACAGTATTCCCTGCTCCACCTTCCCCAATCTCACTCTGAGAGTGTGCTTCTAGTATTTTAGCTTCAGAATCAATTTTCAGCCTCAGAATCAATTCAATTTAGACATTACTTATTGATTTATTTCAAGAGAAAAGAAAACCTGTTTCCAATTACATACCTTCTTCCTCTAAAGTGTTATGTCATTTTTGTTTGAAATATCATTAAAGGTTTGATTCACTTTGACCTGGAAACATGTATTCCTGCTGAGCTGGTTAGTGTACTACTTTCCATACTTACTACTACCCTTTCTATTTCACCTGGTCATTTTGATTCCATCTCTGTCCTGCTCCTTCTCCTTACTTTTTTGTCTTCTCTCTCTGACTTCTTTGTATTGTGGAGTTAACAAAAAGTTGCTTTTATTTTTATTTGTTTACTTTCTTACATACTTGCTAGAATATTTTCCCAATATATCTTTAAATGATCATTACTAATTTTTCTTTGTCTATTCCTCTTAACTTTGCTTCTCATGTAATGGAACAATATTCTCTTTTATTTCCTGTTCCAGAATTAATGAGAATATTTGGCATTTGTCTTCTGTTCTCTGGATTAGCTCTGTTTCTTGAATCCTGTGTAGTACTTATTTATTTTGGTTTCTGTTTTCCATACTGGAGACTTTCCTGTAATCTATGATGGTCTTGGCTGCCATTCAGATAAAAGAGTAAGGGTCTACTTGTGTGGACTGAGATTGTTATCAGTGAGCTGTGCTCCAGTGACAAAAGTCACATTGGCGTGGAAAAGTTGATTTTGGGGCATGTACTCTGGGACAATTGTGTTTCTCCAAAGAAGGCACCTTGCTACCCAGCACAAACACTCAACCCTCACAGGACCAGGTGTTCTCGCATCCAGACATCCAACTGGATCCATCTTTCCAGAGCATAGAGCCATGCTCTCCAGCTGTGTGGAGGAGAAGAGGGTATCTCACTGATCCTTACACACGCTCTCAGTCTCTCCACGTTCAGACTGGAGTCTTCCCTTCATCTCCAGTTCACCTGTTCTCCCCTAAACCGCTCCGAGGCTGTGTAGGTGGATTGCCTGCTGTTTTTCTCTGTAGGAATGCAGGGTTCATGTTTTGTTTGTTGTTATTGTTGTTCTGCATTGTCAGTTACTAATCCTTAGTTAGATTTCTCTCTTCTCAAATTTGGTGATATGTCTCAGTGGTTCTTGTTGCCTCATACATTATCTTTGCCCTTGAGGTGCCGTTAATTGTGTATAAAAGTTCTCTGCCTATTATTTTGGTGGAATTCCCTGGAAAGGCCAAAATGAAGATGTGTTCAGTTGATCAACTTTTATTGGCATTTCTTGTGTTTCTATTTAATTATAAAGAGAAGCTGCAAAAAATTGAGATTTCCATTTACTCTTATTTTGATGTAGGGAACATTTTAATGTAAAGATACTCTAAAATCTCAAGGCACTCTATTTGAAAGAAAAAGCGGGTTACTAGCTACAATTTCTACGTGACGACAATGACTATTATCTCTAATACTATACAACTAAAAATCACTGAAGTAAATAGGAAATAAATGCAACCTAGTTAAAAATAAAGGAAGCAAAGGAGGATTTTTTTTTAGAAAAGATAATAGACTTGCCGATATTCATGACCCCTTTCAAATCCAGAATTTCTCAAAGCAGGCTTGTTGTTCTCATATTGATTTTTATAAATAGAAAATACTATAAATTTGCCTAAAAAGTAAACAAATAGCACTTTAATTTGTCTTATAAGGTGAGTTTCCACATGAACATTCTGATTGAAAAAAAAAAAAGTTTCTTGGCCAGCTAAAGAGAGGGAGAGAAAAAAAAGGGGGGAAAATCTTTTACAAACTAAATGATGATTTTTTAAATTCCTTTCTAGCTCTACAATTTTATCATTGTTAAGTCTCTTAAATTACTCTGTTTTACCTTGTCTGTAAAATTACAATAATAATACCTACTCTTACAGAATTATGAGTATCAAATTAGATACTGTATGATGAACTATAAATTCCTTTAGATATATAATTTATTATTACTAATCAAATCTGTGGAAGTAAGAATAAGTGAAAAAATCCATGAAATTATTATGCAAGTTGCAATTTTCTCTTTTCCACTACTAACATTTAGATACAGAGTTGTCCTTGTATGTCTTCTTATATTTTTAATCCTAACCTAAATAGTAGTGTAGCTTTAGTCACGTAGGCAAATCACTTGTGCTGTCAAACGCTCTCTCCTGCGGAAGAAGATCACGCAATGTAATCATGCAATTGCTACTTTTCCCGCAGTGGTGCTGTTCCTTTGCCAGATTTCAGAGAACCTCGCAGCTGAAAGTCCCCCGTGTTTGCCGCTGAACTCCTTCATGTCACAAATAGCGGGGATGCTAAGAACAGAGTCACACACCTTTGCCCAAAATGTTTATGAAACAGTTTCCGGTCGCATCCCAACCTAGTGTTTTCAGACTCCCCCTGTCAAGGGTAGGAGGGCCAGAAGTATTCGTCAGTAGGTTCTCATGGTCTTTCATGAATCTGTCAGGAATTCTGAACATAGACAAAGTCATTTCCATGTGTGTGTGTGTGTGTGTGTGTGTGTGATTTCTTATTCAATGAAAACTGGTGACAGAGCTCCTTCTGGTCTGTTAGATTCTAGAGGTGATTTTCTGGAGGAAGGAAGCTACATGGGCAGAGCTTGCCTTCCCTTCTGAAATCTATTAAAGTGTAATACCAATCTGTGTGAGTGAACTGACTTCCCACTACGAATACGGGCACTGCACATCCACAGCGGAAATAACTGACCTGCTGTCAAAACAATCCCGTTCCTGCTCTCCAGGTCATGGGCCCGCATTGTATCTGTTACTGGAATGCCTGGCTCCTTCACTGTGGAGCTTCTCCTAGGTCTGTCTCTCTCCTAACAGTATTTAGGTCTCTTACTGTCTGGGTTCTGGGGTGTTTACTCTGTGATGTCTGATGGAACACAGATTGGATCTCCCTTAACTGCTGGTTTAAGTTAAGTAGGAGATATGAGTGAGCAGTCTCAGAGAACTAGGAGCTAATGAAGCTTTGTGTTTATAATGGGAGTGTATCAGGTAAATGCAGTGACTTTAGGTGACATTTTTTAAAAAAAGACAAATATATCAGATTACCATAGACTTCCCTTAAAAAAAGAAATAGGTAGGAGAAATCCCAACATATGTGTCACAGAAAAAGACAGTTAGATTCTAAAAGTCTTCTAAGATGTCGAATACACATTGGCTTTAGGATCCCAGTATTTCATTTTGAAGAAATTATTGAAAAGCTGTTTATTATTGATTCCAGAACCAAAAAGTTTACACCGTGGGATGTGGCTCTCCAGCTCATGCAGATATTTAAGTCTCGAAGTCATGAATTGATACTTAACAGGCGAACGCTTGATCTGGCTGTGTTGTCTGAAGGTAGAGCCTTTTGGAAGTGGTTGGATTGTGTTGTTAGAATGGAGCTCTTGGGGCTGACATTCAGGGCAGCAGATTAAGCTGCCATCTGCCAAGATATGAGTGCCAGTTCACATCCTGGCTGCTCCACTTCCAATCCAGCTCCCTGCTGATGCACCTGGGAAAACGACTGGGCGATCCATTGGAGTTCTTGGCCCATCACTTCTGCTTGGCCCAGCCCTGGCCACTGTGGCCATTTGGGGAGTGAATCAATGGATGGAAGATATCTTTCTGTCTCTCCTTTCTCTCTCTCTCTCTCTCTCTCTCTGTCTGTCTCTCAACTCTGCCTTTAAAATAAATAAATCATTACAAAAAAGAATGGTGCTCTTGTAATCCAATCATGTGGGTTTAGCAGAAACCACATAGACATGCAGAAGTCATCTCTCTGATTCCAGACCTGCCAGGGAATCCTTCCTCTACAGGCAAACCACCACCCACTGACTTCATGAGCTCCCCGACCAATAGGACTACCTGATCTTGGACTGTGAGCCTCCAAAGCTGTGAGTGAAAGGAAACCTTTTCCTTTATAAATTAGTTTCTCTCTTGTTAGTTATAGTAATGAAAAGCTGATGCAACAGGATCATCTTGATAAGCAGTTTGGTAATCAGAAAAAATGCCTGCTCTTCATACCCTAAGCCAAACAGCCTCAGTAGTCACAGTGAGATCTCAGCTATGACATGTAGTCCTCTGACATCACCACAGTAGTTACGGAAGAATACTCAGGTCAGTAACAATGTATGTTTCACTGATTTCCAATGAAATAGATTAGAGGAGGGGGGAAAGGAAGGGGGTAGGAAGGAGGGAGGGAGGGAAGAAAGGAATATCATTATGTTTTTAGAACTGAATCTACAAATCATATTGAAACTGTTAAAAACATTAAATTTTTTTTAAAAATTAGAAAAGGTACTCAGTTTTATTTTTGGGTGAATTTTCTGATTCAAAATGTATGTTGGGTTCTGCTAGGGCTTATTATACGAAGGTACTTCAAAAAGTTCATGGAAAATGGAATTAAAAGATACGTTTTTTTGGGTAAAGAAAATTTTAAGTCCATGCATATGAGGAGTCTTCAAAAAGTTCATAGAAAAAATGCATAATATGAAAGAAGCATATACAGATTTCAAAAATTTTTCCGAAAACTTTTTGAAGTATCCTTGTGGGCATCATTATTATATAAAATAGTATCTAAGGTTACCCATCACTAGTATCAGATAAACTTAATTATAGAAAATTTAACTGTCACTTATGCATAGAATTTCTCACCACAGGAAATCATTAGAAAGAGGACTGAGTCAATTTAACATATTTTTCAGCTCCTTGAAAGTGAGTCTCAGCCTTAATTGATGGGCAAATAGATGCACATTCTCTACCCAAAGTTTGAACCTTGATGAAATCTCATCTAAAAATTGGCCACATGGCCTCCATTGCAGATGCGGATGCCGTGTTAATGTAAAACACTCTTTAACATGGGCACCACCAGTTATTCAAAATACATTTTTACTGTTAAAAGTCTTTCTTACAAGGCTTACCAATATGTTACCTCTTTTCTCCCTTCCTTCTTCTATTCTAAACTTTCTTTATCCAAATAT